AGACAGACAGAGAGAGAGAGAGAGAGAGAGAGAGAGAGAGAGAGAGAGAGAGAGAGAGATATCTGGGGAGAAGGGGGTTGGGGCTGTAGGCAGGCTCCAAACAGGCAGTCCGCGGTGTGGTGTTGTGACTGGCCAGTCCACTGATGAGTGAGGTGGGGCAGGCGGCAGACGGAGATAGTGCGGAGATACGCGTTACGTGAGTCACTCCAAAAGTGATGTGCCGTAGCTTAGACGCTCAGTATGAGAGCGTATAGGCCATAACTAAAAAGTAAAAGAATACGAGAGCGTGTAGTGTGTGATTCCTGATTCAATGAAGTGCAATCGTTTTTTTCATAGGCATATGCACACATTCACTTCACCAGTTCTACAGCAGACCTATACGAGCAAAGTGGGTGGTTGGCGGGTGCTCTGGTGTGGTCTGCTTCTTCTTTCCTATCAAAGATCTATCGTCCTTATCTCCCCTTCTTCTTTTTATGTTTGTTACTCTCTTGTAACACCTCTAATCTTCTGGCGCTCATTAAATATGATCTTATGCAGCTGCGAGCGCGTAAAACCTCTACTAAAACAAACTAAAACAAGCAACAAGAATGAGGAAAAGATGGCTTCCAACAAAGACAGAAGGATCAAATGCCTTTCACTCGAATTAAAGGCCGAGATAATCAACAAAGTTGACCATAAAAGGACGACTAATCTAAAGCGCAAATTTTATTTAAATGTATATGGAAGGCCTGTAATACTGTGGAATTTAAAGTTATTTTTTTCGGTAGATTCCCCTTTGCTTGCATTCCTTTCGCGGGAACTCGCTTTCAGCAGGATTTTTCTTCTAGAGCCCAAAGTCCCGCTTTCGCCGTGCTTGTTCTACTGTATAATTATCATATATCGACACACGTCACTGAATCTTCCATAAACAGCAGAGCCTAGAGCTGTCAGGGGGCTCTCTGGCATAGAGGTTAAGGTGTTCGCTTCTCATTCAAAGGTCCCGGGTTCGAATCCGGGTAGCAAGGGAAACTTTTCTTCTCTAAAATTGTCTCCTTTCCCCTCCTTTCCTGCTCTCTAGCAATATTCTGTCGTCAGCTTTCGTCTCCACTTTCTCCCCCCCC